AGAGCAGGACTATTGAAGTGTGAGTTGTGAAAGTCAAATCATAGGACAATTTCCAAAAGAGAGAAATAGCCAGAGAGACCAGAGTCATTAGACTCTGACTGGACAGACTCATAGAGGTGAAATCTTCCAACACTAATTTCTCATTTTGGAAGATGAGAAAAATATAATATCGTGGCTTTTTCACTTCACCCTGAATGAACTGAATTTAAAGCTGCAGCGCAATTCAGTGAAAATAATTTTTCTAAAATTAATTTTGTTACGTAATTTATTCTAATTTATTCCAGCCGTTATTTTACTTGAAATGAGAACATTTATCTATGTATTTCTATGTATTATTTATAATCCAGCCAGTTAAATTTGAAAAATGAGAATAATATTAGTTAAAATATAATTGATGTGTACTTTCTTTATTTGATTTGGCAGCTGTTTACTACACAGAGACGTTACTACTACTAGACTTCTTGAATATAGATATACCCAAATTATATATATATATATATAATTTGGGTCGTGGGTCGAGGCTTGTCATTAACGGGTGATGGTGGGTCCCGCAGCCAGACCAGTTGAGAACCACTGCTTTAGGTGGTACTAGTGATCCTTTAGGTGGTACTAGTGATCCTTTAGGTCTTGTAGTGGTACTTTAGGTAGTATTAGTGGTCAATTATGTGGTTCTAGAGCTCCTTTAGGTGGTTGTTGTGGTCTATTAGGTAGTATTAGTGGTCCATTAGGTGGCATTAGTGGTCCATTAGGTGGCACTAGTGGTCCATTAGGTGGCACTAGTGATCCTTTAGGTGGTACTAGTGGTCCTTTAGGTCAGTATTATGTCAGTTTTTCAACCTTTTCTGAGCCACGGCACATTTTTCACATTAAAAAGATCCCGCGGCACACCAACAACCAAAAACATTACAAAATGACACCTTTTAGCATAATACAGCAGATATGCAGGGGTGTCAAACTCAATCACAGAGAGGGACAAAATTAAATAGTCACCATTTAATAAACAGGATAGAAGGGGTATTGGACAAAGTGCAAAAAGAATACATGTTTAGGTAGGCTACATTATTTTATGCATACGTACCAGAGCCATTCACCAGAGTGAATGATTCCCTCACAGATGGAGAACCGAAGCTGTTCTGAAGGAACGTGATGAAACACACTGCATGCTGGGCTCACATCTTTGTTGAATGAATCAGTCTAATCTGTGGCTCCTTCTTTTAGGGATTACAGAATCACCGTCTTCGCTACCTGCCACACCATCAGGAGGAGCTACACCGGACCCTCCTCCAACGACCGACCGTACCTCTGTCGCCCCTGGCAACGGCTGGTGACCCACCGGCTGCTCTGCTCCCGGCAGGAGGCCGCAAACAACATGGCCTCCACAGCAGGAGGCAGCGAGGAGCAGAGGAGACGGCAAGTCTTCACCATCCACTGCACCTCCTCCTCCTCCAGGACCAAGGCTTACAGGAGCAGCTCCTTCTACGTGAGCGATGGAGGAGTGAAGTTCATCTGAACATCAGGAACCCATCTGTGTCCATGAGAACATTAAACATCAGGAACCCATCTGTGTCCATGAGAACAAACATCTAGGAACCGTCTGTGTCCATGAGAACATTAAACATCTAGGAACCCGTCTGTGTCCATGACAACATTAAACATCTAGGAACCCGTCTGTGTCCATGAGAACATTAAACATCAGTTAACCGTCTGTGTCCATGATGTTGTTGCTGTTCTTTTTAATGTATGAATACTTTTGTCAACTTTCAATGAAAGTAGATTCAGGAGGTGTAATTGTGTTTGTCTCGAGTATATGTTGAGTTTTACTGTCATTTGTCACCCATTTGTTTGTTGTTCTATTATGAGGTTCTAGTGGTTCTTAAGGTGGTTCTACTGGCCCATTAGGTGTTTCACACCATCATTGAGGGGGTTCTAGTGGTTATTAAGGTGGTTCTACTGGCCCATTAGGTGTTTCTCACCATCATTGAGGTGGTTCTATTGGTTCTTTGAGTGGTTCTTACAGCCATTGAGGGAATTCTAGCTGTCATTGAGTTGGTTCTAGTGGTTCTTTGGGTGGTTCTTATGGTCCATTAGGTGGTTCTCGCCATCATTGAGGTGGTGCTAGTGGTTCTTTAGGTGGCTCTAGCAGTCATTGAGGTTGTTTTTGTGGTTCTTAAGGTGGTTCTACTGGCCCATTAGGTGTTGCTCGACATTGAGGTGGTTCTAGTGGTTCTTTGAGTGGTTCTAGCAGTCATTGAGGGGGTTCTAGCTGTCATTTAGTTTGTTCTTATGGCCCATTAGGTGGTTCCTATGGCACATTAGATGGTTCTTGCCATCATAGAGGTGGTTCTAGTGGTTCTTTAAGTAGTTCTCGCAGTCATTGAGGTTGCTCTAGGTTCTTTGGTTGGTTCTAGCAGTCATTGAGGGGGTTCTAGCTGTCATTGAGTTGGTTCTAGTGGTTCTTTAGGGGGTTCTAGTGGTCCATTAGGTGTTTCTCGCCATCATTGAGGTTGTTCTAGTGGTTCAGTAAAGAGGACTGATGTTATATTTATAATATATAATAATAATAATATAAAGTTAAATAATGTATTTCCTGTTTGCACAGTCCGGATCCTCTTTGATCCAGTCCGGGTCTTCAGGTCTGATGACAGACCGCTTCACTAGAGCAGCCCACCATAGATCCCTCCGCGGGGTCAGACACTTTTCTCACTACACAAACACAGAAAAGAGTCCGCTACAGACACACAGACACGTGTTAAACTGTTCCTATCGGTGAAGGAGGCCTTTCTCCGGTCGTAACATATGAACTCTGTCCGGTAAATGTTGCTGCTCCGGTACCAGAGCGGATGTTTTCTGTGGACCTACTTTTACTCCCTCTGTCGCTGACAGGCGGTGCTTCGGTCGCTCCCTAAACAACATGGCCTCCGTGACGGAGCGACCGATTCAACTTTAATTTTTGGCCTATTTTTCAGCGTTAAACCGTGTTTTTCTCTTTTAACGATCACCGGGAATGTTCCGAGTGAACAGTGACGCTGACGTCATCTCTCGGAGAAGTTCTCTGTTGTGTTTAAACTGATCAGTTTAAATCTGGAGAGGAAGAAGAGAACCTCATCTAATCAGTAAGGAGGTTCTTCAGCTCTCGAGTCTCAGTGCTGGTCTTCTTCTTCTTCTTCTTCTTCACTGTTTGTGGCGGTAAACTCTTCACGAGTGTTTGTCACGTTTATAGCGAGGAGACGAGTGAACGCGCGACGGTGTCGGGATGCGCTCGAGTCTGGTGCGCTAACAGCTAGCTAATGCTAATGCTAACAGAGAAGTTATCAGTCAACTGGGCGGTCCGAGGAAGCTAACTGCTAACAGCTAACAGCTAGCTGCTGTGTTTATTCAGCTGAATTTAAGTAAATAAAACATTTAATTTGTGTTAAACACGTGATGTCTGAATGAAGTTAGAGTTTAAAGGTTAAATAAACGTTACACATTCAGAGGTTAATCATTAGTGTAACGTTAAAATGGTTTTATTATAGTCCCTTAATCCTGTTCTGATCCATGTTCTGTTTTATTAGCATACTCACTTAATCCTGATCTAGTCCACGATCTGGTTTATTAACAAACTTGCTTAATCCTGTTCTGGTCCACGATCTGGTTTATTAACATACTTGCTTAATCCTGTTCTGGTTCATGTTGTAGTTCACGTTCTGGTTCCTGTGATAACTAACTAGTCTAATGAACTGTTAGTGGTCTACTGACCTGGTACACATATGTAGTAGTGAAGGAAGTATTCAGACCTCTTAACGTTGCTTCATTAAATATACTAATACCACACAGTAGAAATACTCTTATTTGTTTCTATGAGGTGTTAACTCAAATCTGATTGGTTTGTTTCTATGACGTATTAACTCGAATCTGATTGGCCGTTTGTTTACATGAGGTGTTGGCTCACATCTGATTGGCTGTTTGTTTACATGACGTGTTAGCTCACATCTGATTGGCTGTTTGTTTACATGACGCGTTAGCTCACATCTGATTGGCTGTTTGTTTACATGACGTGTTAACTCACATCTGATTGGCTGTTTGTTTACATGATGTATTAACTCACATCTGATTGGCTGTTTGTTTACATGACGCGTTAACTCACATCTGATTGGCTGTTTGTTTACATGACGCGTTAACTCACATCTGATTGGCTGTTTGTTTACATGACGTGTTAGCTC